TTAAGACTAGAACTAGGCCCTTGTTTTTCTCTTGACAACAGTTCTTGATAGAGTTCTGATTGTATCCTTCCAGTTGGTAAAGTTTCGTAAAGCAATGACACACTTCAAAGGTTTGGAACGAAGAAAGATAAAGACCAGAATTGCAAGGTAATGTGATTCATGCTGTGACTACAGCACCTCTTTGGTGTTCATTGCATGGTCTTTTTTTACTTTTAAGCAAATCGCTCTATCTGATAATTACGAAGAGTCAACTTCTTAAAAAAAACATATTAAACTGAATATAAGAACCGACACATGCACCAAAACAGAGATAAAAACGGTCCTTTACATGGATAAGAAAAGAAACTTCCAAAGCCTACCCAACTACATAGGAAAAGGTGCTCACAATCAGAATAATTATAAACTTTAACTTTAATTCACAAAAAAAAAAAAAAAAACCTGTTTTGCCCCACTGATTGTTAATGCGCTGTTCTGGAGAGCCAACACACAAGTATGACCATATTTTCCTTCCCTGTAATAATAAGCAACATGAAACTGTGCCCACCTTTCACTGGCAAACAATTGATGTAGCAGAAGCACAAATAGTTAAAAAGTTCGACCTTGCGAACAAATCAAGGTAACAATAACCTAAGAGTTCGCTAGAACCCAAGTCCAGCACTGTAAAAACACGAACATCAGAATGCCAAACATCTCCTGAAATCTCCTCAAACCTTAAGCCTGTGAGAAAAATGCAAGAATAAGTAGCAATATACATTCTATGACGAAGAAATCAATATTTGGAAAAGTAAAAAAAATAATGATAAAATATGTTCAGCCCAAGTTAAGCAGTCAAGCAGTTAACTGAGTAGGCAAATCGTTACTCGGGAACCACACTTTATGAACGTTTATGTAAGATATATAATTACCAAATAGATCTTGGACAATTTTGAAGATCCCAGATAGAACCACACTAATCGGAAAGTATTGCTTGATTTCTCCAAAATCCAAATCGTAGCTCTGTTCTTCAATCCGTTTTACATAATATAGTAGGTCCTCAATTCCAAATGGAAGCTCTCCTTCTTCTTTCTTCTGATGTCATAATGAAATCAGTAATGCGATAAATATAAATTAATGTAAAAAGCATACACCAAAAAAATGTAAACCTTCAAATCTTTCAACATATTAAGTTCTTTCGTGGCCAAGTCAGTTAAACTTGCTGATATGTCTTTCAGGAACTCAAACACCTGGATGAAATTCAGAAGAAAAATCCAGAATCAGATATCAGGATCACAGAAAGAGTTTAAAAAACAGTGCAAAATTAAATATAGAAATCTCTCAAGTTACAAATTACACTCAGATTATGGCAAAGAAACAAGTTCATCTCTGATTACCATTTCCTTTTTTATTTTCCCAGTATCATCCAGCATACTGCAGTTATTCCTTATTAGACTAGACTGAGCTAAGAAAGTTCGCAAAACATTTATTTTAATTTTAAATTAGAGCTGTCCTGCACCTGCTGTCATCAAAGAGAAACCCAAATATAGCATATTTACAATGAATTTCTAATTAATCTCATGTGTGTCAATATCTAAGACATCTTTTGTGTAAACTATAGAACTAGACTAGAATTTTGAGATATTCATTTTTAAATATTTTAAGAAAACAACTCATTTTTATTGTACTTTTTTTATAATAATTACTGCCTCCAACATTATGCACACAAGGGCTCAAATTGCTCTTAGTACCAGATAACATCTGACAACAACTATCTCAATAACATTCTTATGATTTTACTTTTCAGCATAATTGATGTGTTAAAACCTATTCATATAAGGAAATACCTGATAGAAGAGAAAAGCTTAGTATAGAGATAGGAAGTATAAACAAGTGAGTAACCAGAGAAGCCTGGTTGCATGATACATTGC